AGCCAGAGGTGAAGAGCTACAACTCCCATCATCCCTGACATATATATGTCTGTGCCTGGCTTCCACTACACCAAATGCATCTGAGGAAGTAGATTAAAGTCTATGAAAGATCATGCTGTCAATTTATTTGTTTCAGCTAGTCTCAAAGGTGCTACAAGATCTCTCTACATACTGATTATACAGACTAACACAGCTATATTCTTAAAATCTACCAGGAGAATGAAAGAAATGGGAAAATTAATGGACTAGTTTATATTTGTATTAATCTAGCAGGTATATTGTCTTATCACTCGCTAACATGATTTCAATAATTCTCTTTAACTTATTGTTGTCAGGATTGATTCAGATTCTTTTTCACATCAGAATTGGGCCTTTGTAGCTAATTCATCAAGTTTGTTTTCCAGATGGTTCTAGTGCATGATGTGTCCCTGTGTCATGTTTTCCATTCTCTTTCTCTCTATATATATATGTCTGTGTTTGTGTCTGTGTGTCTGTATATCATGTCACTCTATCTCCAAAAGTCATAAAAAGATTGGAAAGCAAATGCTCATCTTCAGCTGGAGAGGTGACTCATGCATTGATTCTCTAGTAATCCCTATAAAATGTGTTCAATAAAGAAAAGTGCTGTTTCTAATAAAGAGGATCTGCAGTGCCTTACTCTTGTTTCACTTGCCCTGGTGATATGTGGGAAAATTCCAGGTAACTGCATAACTTAGTCAATTTCAATGAAAATATGCTATAAGGAAGAACAGTGTGGGCAGGGTGACAAGGGACCATTCACAGAGATGACAGCATTATTATGGTACAGGTAAGTAGAAACAATGACCTGTGTTACTCACAATTCATGAAGAAGAAAATGAGATCATATCTGACACAGCATGTGGGTTTAGACATAATTTCTCTTTTTCTATGTATAATAAAAAGCCAGAAGTCTATATGAGAAGCACAACTCTTTTTAGTGGCAAACATTAAATAAACATATCTTTAAACATATTGTGGGT